ACCCATAGGCATTGCTAAGGGTGAGGCACTGCTCCAGCTCTGGGTATCTAGTGAGGAACCAAACAGACCCAAATCCCAGCCTGCACACAGATCAAGGCCATGGGCAAATAGCAAAGGTAGAACTCATTTTTCAAGTTTTGATGTGGGTTTGTTTGGAGCCCTGAGCTGGAAGTATTTAGAAATGCCCTTGGTTGTGGGGAAGGACCAAGGGGCAAGAAAGGCTTATCAGGATGGTCCCTGGGCCAGCGCCTGCTCAGAGAGGGGTGCTGACCAGGCCCGGCAGGTGACCGTGGGTCTTTCGTGCTACAGGGGCTGGATCCCGGCGCCCTGAGTCACTGCCTCACCCCGGTCTCTTCCTGCCTTGGGCTGACTATAGCTCGGTCATCTCAGCTGAGACAACCCTCTGGTTTTGGAAGGGAATTTTCCCGAATGCCACCAGCTAAGCTCTCTGGCACCGATCTTTGGCCGTGCCATTGCAGACCTTGCCTCCTTCCTGTGCTTGGCACCCTCCATATGAGGCGGCTCCCCTCCCTGCTCCACCCCTCTCCCATTCCTGCCTCACCCTCTCCCTGCTCCTGCTCTGCCTTCAGATGTTGGCTTCCTGTCTTCTTGCCCTCCTGCCAAGCAAACCTTTTCTGCTGTCAACTCCTCCCTTCTGCCCTTGCCACACACTAGATGTTGGCCTGTTACCTGCTCCTGCCCCATCCCTCACTAGCTCCTGGGCGGAGTCTTCCCAGCATTTTTCTCCTCTCATGTTGTGTCGACCCTCTCAGAGCCAGGACGATGCCCCACCCTTGGAGGGGTCACACGAGGTTGTTTCTTTGCTGTTGTCTTCTCAGGGCACTGAGCGCTGGATGATGGACACCTGGCATGGGAGGGCTGGGGCAGAGTTTCTTCTCTGCTAACATTGGGACTGGATAGTCTTTATTGGTGTGTGTGGGGGCGCGGGGGTGGGGGGCGGGGAGGGGCAGTCCTGTGCATTGTTGGATGTTTAGCAGCACCCCTGACTTCTACTCACTAGGATGCCAGTAGCAGGCCTCTCCCCAAGTTGTGTCAACTCCAAATGTTCCAGACATTGTCAGATGTCCCAGGAAGCAAAGCTGCTCCTGGTTGAGAACCACCAGGCTAGGCGTTGAGAACACCAGGCCTCAGTCTTGGCAAACCTGGGCCGGAAGGGACCTGAGGAGTTCCATAGTCCCAATCCCACCTTTAAGGGAAATTTGGCCTCGAAGAGCTCAAGAATCTGAAGGCCACACAGGGGAAGGTGATAGAAGAGGCATTTTATTTATGTATTTATTTACTTTTTGAGTTATAAGAGAAAGCTGATTTATAAAGTTTCTGAGGTAGCAGAAGTGAGTTAACTGGGCTGTGTAGGCTCAGGAATCAAGTTACAGAAGCAAAAGAAGGGCCCTTGGAGCCCAGAAGAGGGAAGGGCAAAGGTAATGCTGGGGCAGGGGTGGGGGGAGGAGAGGGGAAGGAAGGCACAGGAGTGCTCCCCAGAGGGAGAGCACGGAGGAAAGGGGCATTTTAGACAAAGATTCAGGCAGCTCAATGCAGGCTGGGCTGACAAACAGGCCAGAGTCAGGGAGGGGAGCAGGTTGGGGTCTGGGCATGAGATGGGGGCTACGGTGGGGGTTGTGCTGCTGCTCCCCGTTGGCCGGGGCTCACACGGGCATGCACTGAGTCCCCTAGGAGCAGCGGTGTGGAAGGGGCCTGCACCAAACGCCAGGAAACCAGGTTCCAGGCCCATCCGGCGGTGTGACAGGCGCCTGCTCCCTCTCAGTGTCATTTTCTGTAAACTTAGGGCGTGATGTTTGTCTGCTTCCTGCCTGGAGGCTCTGCTGGTTCTGGGTCATCTGAGGTGGGGACACAGGGTCAGCAGCCCTCTGGGGAGAGATGGAAGAGTGACAGGGGTCTCATTCACTCAGCAGGTGTGTACCATGCCTTTGCCCAGTCCCGGACTTAGGTACAGGCTGCTGGTGGGATTGCCCCTCGGTAGGCAGCAGATCTCACCTGGGACCTAGCCTGGGGCCTGGTGGGGTCTGACATGGCAGTGAGAAGGAAAGCAAGTGGGGGGCGGGCCCACAGCTCATTCCGCTCCGGGTGCTGGAGGGAGGCTGCTGGTGGGTCTTTGGGAAGCTTACAGACCGAATCAAGGACATGCAGTGTGGATCCAGAGAAGCACTGCTGAGGAGTGACCAGCTCCTGGGAGCTTCTGAATCATTGAGCTTTTCCTGGTGGAGGCTCCTTGAACTCATCCATTCCCCCAGGAGGGAAATGCAGAATGGAGGCACAGCCGGGACCACCAGGCCGACTCCCAGTGAGAACTGGCTTCTGGGGAAAGCTGCACTCTCTGGGGAGGGTCCTGGGGGTCCTGGTGTCCCAGCTGCAGGCCCAGGAGTCCCAGTCAGCTCTCTTTACTGGGCTCCTCTGCCTGAAGCCAGAGGCCTGCAGCAGCGGGTTTCCTCTTATTCATGGCAGGATCTGGCTTTAGGAACCATAAATCTGCAACATGAAGGTCATGAATTTCCATGGTATGATTAATGAAAGAAAAATTGAGACGGCAGCATAGATACTGAGCAGATTGAAGAAAGTCAATGACAAGTTGGATGAAAGTTTCTGAGCCTCACTGGCAATCCCAGAGGTTCTGACCCAGCCTGGAGCGCCACCTAGTGGTTGCAAGGGTTATTCCCCTGGCAAAGCATAGGGATGCCCCTGTTGGGTGGATGGATGCTCCGGCCTGAGTGTGCCCACCTTGGGAACCTTGCCCTAGGGCTGCTGAAGGGTGTAGGAGGTTCAGGACCTCTCTCCACAGCATGGGGGACCCAAGCAGCCGCTCCACTTACCTAACTCCCATCCCCGAAGCTCTCTGAACAGTCTTGATTTAATGATACATGGGAATTTCCCATCTTCTTTGTCATGCCCAGTCTGGATCACCTTTGTTTCCCCATTTATAAAAATCCCATTGATTTTTTTAAAGCCCAGCAAGCCCTGTCATCTCTACCTTCCAAATATATCTCAAGTCAGACATTTCTGACCAGCCCTCCGTAACCACCTGGCGCAGGTCACTGCCAGAGGGCCGCCCCAGTGCCTCCTGATTGCCGTCCCGGCGCCTGTTCTTCCAACAGCAGCCAGAGCGATCTACTGAAGACATAAATCATGTCACTGTCCAGCTCTGGAGGCCTCCCACCCCACTAAGAACAGCACCCACATTTTCTTTCCTGGTGCCTGCAGGGTCTTATCTCATCAGTCCCCTGCTGCCGCCTATGGGGCCCCTACCACCTGTCACCTCCTTCACTCTTCTGTGGCCACTTGGACACCTCAGGGCCGTGCCCTCTATGAGAACACTTTTTCCAGGTATTTGTGTGGCTCACTGCCCCCCTTCATTTGGGTCCCTATGCAATGGCCACCTTTCTCTGACCACTCTGTCCCCAGTTACTTTCTAATCCTTTGCCCACCTTAATTTTCTTCATAGCACTCAACAGCGCCTGAAACTCCGCGAGATCTTTGCTAGTTCCCATTCTGTGTGGGAACTCCCCCTTCGAGGCCAGTGCAGTTTACCGGCTCCCCCAGCACTCGAAAGGGGACTGGCGCTTACTAAGTAGGGGCTCAGTTTGGGTCTGCAGGCTGCCTGTCTTACCGATATACATGCGTCTCCTCTCTGAGCTTGGTTCCTGGGTCATAGCATGGCTTCGGCACCAGGAACTGCTACTTCCACTCACTTCCCATGCTTGCTTCCACGTGAATTCTCAGAGAAACCCAGGACGTAGGTGCTATGATTCTCATTCAGAATAAAAGGAGTTTGCAAGTGGCACAACCAGGACCAGCTGGAGCTGGGTGTCAGCTCCATGTCTGGCCCCCCAGCCCCTATGTGGAACGTCTTTGCCCTCTGCCTGCCCCAAGGCCCCCCAACCCCCATCCTTGAGGCTCTGTCTCCACCAACTGGCCTCTTGGACCAGGACAGTGACTGCCTCCTCTGAACTTCTGTACCGTTTATTTGGCATCAGTGTATACTGCCAGGGGCAGATGCTGCTTTTTCCTAGCTGCCACCCGGCCCGAGTGGAGGCCCGGGGAAGGCAGGCCTCTAAAGCAGTTGTAGCACCTCTGGCACGGACGCTGCATGCTAGAGGCGCTCAATAAATATCGGCTGACTGATTGATTGGCTTCTCAGATTCAGCACACTTCCTCTGGGCTGCGGGAGGGAGGGGGCTGTCAGCTATATTGAGCGTAAAATAAGGCAGACGTGGAGATTTGCAGCCAATGAAACTAAAGCTTCCCCAGGTGAAGCGAGTGGCGGCGCGGCCCCAGGGGTGCTGTTGAAGAGTCGGCTTTCGGGCCCAGAGGGCTGGTTGCTGGCTTACAGATGGATGGTGAAGGCAGTGATGGGCGGCTCCGTCCTAAACCTCAGCCAGCCGCCCAGTCAGCTCTCAGCCAGCCCAGCGAGTCCTTTTCTTGTCCATCTGTGGGAACTTCATTCTCCAGGCTCTGAGAACGGTGGGCAGACGGCCCTCTGCTCAGGACCGCGGGGCAGTCACTGGGGGTCTGGCTCTGAGGACCTGAGCTTCGAGCTTCTTTCCCCGCCCCGAGCAAGTCCAGCTTCTTTCTCCGCCCCGAGCAAGGCCGTATGGCTTCCCCTGACCGCCACACACCCTGCCCAGACCCCTTCTGAATGCCAGCACCTCTCCCCTGCCGGCTGGAATAACTGCAGCCACCCATCTGCACCTAGGACCCGCAATATTTGCCACATACTTTTGCTTATGTCTCATTTAATCTGATCCTCAGAGTGACCCTACAGGCCAGTGAAGCCAGTGTTACCCCGTTTGCCAGACAGGGAGACTGAGACATGGAAAGGCTGAAAGGGTTTGTCTGGGTCACACAGCCGACATGATTGGAGGCTGTGATTGTGCTCAGAGTTGGGGGTGGGGACATGGAGTCTTTCGGGACCCCTGCTGGTGAATGCAAGAGCAATGCCAGTCTAACCGGTTTTCCTTTTTCTTCAGCTCTGTGGCTGTGGGCTGCTTGGAGTGGGCATTTGGCTCTCCGTGTCCCAAGGCAACTTTGCCACCTTCTCCCCCAGCTTCCCTTCGCTGTCTGCAGCCAACCTAGTCATCGCCATAGGCACCGTTGTCATGGTGACGGGCTTCCTGGGCTGCCTGGGGGCCATCAAGGAAAACAAGTGCCTCCTCCTCAGTGTAAGTTGGACCCCACACCCCCAACCCTCTGAACTCTCTGGGTCACCCTGCGTTTGGGCCACAATGACCGGCAAGGCCTGGGAACATCAGCTAACTGAGCCCAGGGAAATTGCTTTCAGAATGTTCTTTGCCCAGTCACTCCCCTCTTCCTCACGATTGGCTATCCCTGCCCTAATTGTTTCTCTCTTAATGTCCTTCCTCTACCTATCTGGGTTTCCTCAGAAGTAAGTACACCCCCCCTCATCCCCATACCTGGGAAGCCCTGGCTCTGTTGCCTATCCCTGCCTCCCGCCATTGTTCTTGTTGGTCTTGCTCCTGTCCACAACCACCACCATGTGCCAATGCCTGCACCTTTTCTTTCCAGTTTTTCATCGTCCTGTTGGTCATCCTCCTAGCAGAGCTGATCTTACTTATCCTCTTCTTTGTCTACATGGACAAGGTAAGCCTTCAGGAAGGGGGAGCTTATGGAATTTCATTGTCCTTGGGATTGGGTCACGCTGGAGTTAACCAGAGGGAAATGGATCCAGGCGAACAGGCCAGGCCCAGATGAAAGGTTTTGGTGGGGCAGCATGGGGCAAGATGTGGGCCTGTGTGTGACTGGTCTCTTTCCTCTGAGCGTTACAGCTCTCCTGGGAGTCCGTGGGTGTAGACTGGAGTGGGAGTGTGGACCTGCCCTGCCCTGGCACCCCATCCCCAGGGAGAGAAGCCAGCAGTTCTAGGTGACATGGGCAGGCTGCATTCTGGTCCCAACTGTCCTGTGTGTCTGCCTCAACCGGACAGGTCAATGAGAACGCCAAGAAGGACCTGAAGGAAGGCCTGCTGCTGTACAACACAGAGAACAACGTGGGTCTGAAGAATGCCTGGAACATCATCCAGGCCGAGGTGAGGGTGGGCAGCCCCCTGTCTGGACGGGCGGGGCCAGCAGGCGGGGAGGAGGTCTGGTGGCCTGGGCCTCAGACCCCACCTAGGTGACTGAATTGGGCAGCTGTGCTTTCTGGATAGTAAGTGAGAGCTGCAGTCGGACACCAGCCAGTGGGATGCAGCTGGGGAGGGGCAAGGGGGTGAGTGAAGGAGGGTGAGCAGGACCTGGACACAGAAGTGGACAGCCTAAGGGAGCTGTGCGAGTGGCTAAGTGGGCACAGGGAGCTGGCAAGGATGGATAATCGAGGACTGGCATCTGATCCTTCTCTGAAGCTTTGGAATGAGTGAAAGAATGTATTTTAGCAACAGCTATGCCCCCTGGTCATGGTTCAGGCTAGGAGGCTCTGATTCTAAGAGAAGAACAAGTCAGTACAGCCTGATGCCCTGTGGGAAGTGTTGGGGAGGGACAGGTGCCAGCCTGCGACGGTCCCTCTGGCACAGCCGCAGGTGCTGGTGGGATGGAGGGCTGAGCACTCCTGCCAGAGTCAGTGCCCAGCAGCTTTCCTGTCTCCTGCTCCAGCCTCCAGGATGGAGCTCTCACTCACCTCCCCTGTGGGCCCAGCTGAGGCCAAAAATGGACAAGAGAAGGCCTCTGTGTTCTCTGCTGAACTCCGGGGGGCAGTCACTGGGCGGAGTTGGCCTGGATGGGGAGGGCCCAGAGGAGATGGCAGGCTGTGGTGGGTCTGACCTATGCATCCCCCCCACAGATGCGCTGCTGCGGCGTCACCGACTACACAGACTGGTACCCGGTGCTGGGTGAGAACACGGTCCCCGACCGCTGCTGCATGGAGAATTCCCAGGGTTGTGGGCGCAACAGCACCACCCCGCTGTGGAGAACGGTGAGGCCCGAGGCCCTGCCCGGGTCCTCCTCCCAGGAGCCTACAGGGGAGGGAGGGGGCCTGGGGCACCAAGGACTTGGCTTAATGTGGGGGGCACACAGGACTGAAGCCAAGAGGCAGATGGAAATGGGGGGCCTGGACCCATAGTTGGGAGTGTAATGGGGTGGGGGGTATGAGGCTGTGCAGTGGGACCTTGTGGGTGGAACCCGGGGCCGGGCAGGGCCTGCTCAAAGGCAGGACCAGGCTGGGGGTCAGGGAGGGACAGGAGGAAAGAGCAGGGACAGGGGCTGAAGGAGAGAGTGGGGGGCTGAGCAGGAAGGGTGCTCACCATCACGCCGGGCCCTTCACCCTGTGGTCCTCGCTCCCTAGGGCTGCTATGAGAAGGTGAAGATGTGGTTTGATGACAACAAGCACGTTCTCGGCACGGTGGGGATGTGCATCCTAATCATGCAGGTGAGAGGGCCATCAGCCTCACTGCCCCCCCCCCAGCTGGAGAAAAGCAGCCCCCCAAGTTAAGTCACTGTGGGTCACTGTCCCAGGCAGCCCCACCTCCATGCACTGTCCTGCTTTGTGGCCTCTTGGTGCCTGCCCAACCCCACAGGCCCCAGAGGCACTGCTTCCTCCCATTTTGTAGGCCTTGGGCCCGAAGCTGGCATTGCGTGCAGCCTGCTTATGTGTGTGTTTGCTGATGAACACACCTGTCTTCACTTCACAGAGGCCTTATGGCCGGACTGAATGAAACCTGAGTCCTTAGTAACACCTGTGAGCATGGCGCGTGGGTCCGAGCCCACAGGCGTCAGTCCTGGCCTCACCGGCTGTTAGACACGTGTGACCCGGGCACACAGATAGCTTGTGTGCCTGAATGTCCGCATCAGCATAGTGAGCATGAAGATCGTGCCCCTCAACAGGGCGGGAGTGCAATATGCCCAACATGGGCAGGGAGCCGCACCACGCTGAGGAAGTGGCAGGCATGTGAGCTGCTCTTGTAAGCACTTAGTGACACTGTTCCCTCAAGGCCTAGCCTAGGTGACGGAGAGGGAAGAGGACACAGCTGGCTGGGAACATAAAGCCCCGACCTTTCTAGGGACAAGCATTTCCTGGGCTCCTTCCTGTTCCCACTACCCATGGCTCGTATCCCTGGTGAGCAGAGGTGTCCAGCCCGATTCCTCTTGGAGCACTTGAACTTCACTGGTCCCGCACCAGGGATCCTCCTATCCTAAACTCTGGGGCCCCGGGGGCAGAGGTGTCTGATTTATCTACGCGCTCACGGACTGAGCAGATGAGCTCTGATGTGAGCTGCACTCACCATTCGGCACCGAGAGCTGGGCTCATCTCGGGTCCTCCCGGGTCAGAACCTCGGGGTGGGGCCCCCCCACCATGGTCTCTTCCACATATGCCTGCACCTCAGTATGGGCGCCAGGACAGGCACAGTGTCACCTGCTCTGTGGCCTGTGCCCAATGCAGACTGACAGTGAGGCCACAGGCCGGCTCCCTGCTGTCACCACCCCCTTTCAGAATTCAGGAGTTGAGGGAATAACAAACGAGTATTAATGTCGTCCTAATCATCACTGCTAAGACGTGTCTGCTGCAGCCCACATCACGCTGTGTATTCCAGAGCAGAATGAATGAGCACAGGCCACATCCCCTCCCCCTCCGCACCGCCTGTTAGCTTCCGTGCAGGGTCAGCCTCTGCGTACCGGCCTCACAGCACTCTGAGAGGGAGAGGGAGGTTCAGCGACATCTGTACAGAGGGCTGAGGGCTGGGCTCTCGTGGGCCCTGGGCCGGTCGCTGGGTGCCCTCCTCTGTTCACCACGATACTCATCCCGCCAGAGTTTTATTAATACATCCACAGGCAGTGGTACTACTTGCTGTCGGTGGCCCCAGCCGCGGGGCTTTTGTCTGAGCCCGCTCCCTGTGTCTTTCAGATTCTGGGCATGGCCTTCTCCATGACCCTGTTCCAGCACATCCACCGGACCGGGAAGAAGTACGACGCCTGAGCGCCAGCGGAGCCCAGCCCCCACGCGGACACTGTGCCAGGGAAGGAGATTTGAGCTTTGTGTTGCCTGCCCGCACTCCAGGCTGCTGCCCCCACCCATGCCCCCCAGCGCCCTCCACACCCCCCGCCTCAGCCTTCTCGGGGCGGAGAGCTGGGGGGGAGGAGGCACGGAGACCTTGGGGTACCAGGGGTGCTGGATTCCTGCATCTGTGCATTTGCCAAAGAAGACAGGGTGGGCCGGGGGTGCGCTCGAGGAGGCCACGCTGACGGTGGCCACCCCGCCCTTCCTCACACCACACTGTGCGCGTGGGGGGCCTTGGCGGAGAGACTGCCCAGCAGAGGCCTCCCTTCGGAGAGCGGGGCCGCAGCCTCCGGCCAGGGACCCAGGGAGCACCTTGCCCAGGCTTTTTATACCTTACAGTGTAACTTTTTTATTTTATTTTACTCTGATTATGATTATTCAGGAATATTATCTCAGATAAGTGTAGGGTTAGCTTTCTGATTTATAACTTTTTACTGTGTTGATTTCTGTAACGGTTTGATTTTTTTCTGAGGGTGGGGGAGGGTGGGAGAGAGGACGTCCGCAGGGTTTCAGTCAGGACAAACCACTGTGCACGGCCAGGAGGCGCTGGGGGAGGTGGGCCAGCTCGCGTTCACTGCTCTGAGAGGAGGCGGCCGGGGCCCAGGAGCCTGGAAGAGGAGGTGAGGCAGAGGCACGTGCGGCGGCGTGAGGAGCGTCCTGCTCGGGAGCCACGTGTCTGCGCGCGCTGGTGCAGGAGGCCCGGGCAGCGGGTCCCTGGGGGCTGCAGGGTGCTTTCCCAGGAGCACAGCTGGAGCCGTTGTGGGTCTTCCACGTCATGGATGAGCAGTTGTTTTTCCTTCCCTTCTTCCTCCTTCTGCCCTCTGCTGGCACGGGAGGCCCTCCTCCCCTCACCCCCCACGGGCCTTCCCATGACATCTGCCAACCCCAGTGATTTCACAGACATTCCTGTAGAAACTCCCAGACACATACCTCTCGTTCAGCTGCTGCTCACTTTCTCACACTGCTTCTGGAAGGGGAAGCAGTCCTGAGGTTTTGCTGCTCAGACAGTGGCAGAGGGCCCCGGCGTCAGGAGGGCAGGTGGAAGTGGTGCCCGTGACCATTCCAGCTGACTGCTGGTTCCCACTGGGAGGAAGGGGGAGGTGTCCGTCCAGGTCCCAGGATTCATCTCCTTCCTTAGGGCTCCTGGATGGTGGGGTGCAATCACTGGGTGGCAGTCACGTCCCCAGTGACCCCAAGGAAAAGTACAGAAAACTGAGAGATGTCAGATTGGATCCTGTGGCCCCAGGAGGAAGTGGCCCCAGGAGGAAGCCGCCTGAGAGATGAGAGGTGGGCGGGACATTCGGTGCCCACCAGAACTTGTGGTGGTCTAAGCGAGCATTTTGCAGTTAAAGAAGAAAGTCAAGAATCCATGGGATGGAGCTTGAAAAGGCTCCTTACTAGCTAGGTGGGACCTGCCTTTTCCTACATCACTTGGCTCCAGGCCGAGTTTCCCACCAGGCCCACATCTCCCAGCCTCCACCTGTTTGTTCCAAGAGCTGGTACTCAGCTGCCCAGCCAGCAACTCCTTCCTGACCTTCAGTGCAGTGCAGTCAGGACCAGGAGGACAGAGCTTTGGGTGAGGTTAGGACTCACGTCTCTGGAGGGTGGGGAGTGAGTTGGGCAGTAGAGCCACCTCTGAGAGCTGGTGCAGATGGGAGAGCTGGGAGGTGGGGGCTGGGGTGGAGGACATGTAAGCACAATTTTGAGCAAAACTTCCCCTGGGTCCTCTGGCCGCCTCCGGGAACCCAGTCTGCAGAGCTCCTAGCCGCCTGCCACCCAGCCATTGTGGAGACAGCAAACAAGCATTCAAGTCGCACAGTGGGACGTGGTGCATAATGAGTTTATGATGGGGTTGGGGTTGTTTATGCCTATCAATGCAATTTTTAATTTTTGTTAAAATCAATAGCAAAAGCCTAGCACCTTGGGGTGTGTGGCCTCCCTGGCAATCTTATGTTTCTGGAGCTTCAGACCCTTCCTCCTTTGAGCCTCACGCTATCATCTGTCCTCAGAGCCTTGTCACAGTTCCGAAATCCCTCCTGGCCTCAGCCTGTGCTGGTGGCTCCGTCACTGGCCGAGCCTACACTGGGTAGAAGATGCTGTGCATGGGCTGGAGCGCTCTTCCAAGCCCGTGTCTGGCCCACACTGTGTTGGAGGCTGAAGCCGTGGCTTCCCTCACCAGAGTCAGTTTAGTCAGGTCTGATGCAGGCAGTTTACAGACAGCTCAGAAGATCAGGGTCCTGCAGGCGGCATCAGGGGAAAGCCTTCCCTGGCCCTTCTTTGCAGACACCTGGGGAGGTGAGTGAGCAGGGCCTGAGCCCTGCTCTGGGGGAGGCAGCAGGTGCACAGTCCCCACCTGCACCCACTCCCCCTGCTGGCCTGGGCCTGCATCCTGGACTCACTCAGGAAGGCTGCTGAGCCCACCCAGATGCTCATGCAAACGTTCTGGTCTGACTTGGAACCAGGTGGCCATCCCTCCTTGTTTTAGTGGCCAAAGAGCAGCCAAATGGATGGAAACGCCTGTTGGCTCTCGGGCCCCCTGCCCACCACTGGTGGAGGTGCTAACTAGCAGGGACCTGGCGTAGGATGGGAGCGGAGCCAGATGCGTGCAGTCTGCTCTTGGTCCTTCAGCCTTTCAGAGTCCGGGGCTCATTTCCCCTTCTCCCATTTCCCTCCTCTCCCCGCAGTGAAGCAGTAGTCCAGGGTGGGGCCCAGCCTTCCTGCCCTGACCGGGCACTCCAGGGGCCAGGCCTTGGGCCCGTGCCCACACCCTGCCCACGGGAGAGCAGGGGAGCGCGCCTGTTGGTTTCAAATGCACTTTTCTGCTTGTGATGCCATATCTGCGTTTCCTTCATCCTGGTCCTGGCTTTATTGAACACCATGTTTTTAGCATGTTTTTAAATAAAACCTGATAATGTGTCAAAAGCACAAGCAGGCTGTGTCTTCGTGGTGTGTTCGTTCGGCCAACCATGACTGTGGCACCTACTCTCTGTCTGAGACACGCCCTGCAGCCAGGCCCTCATCTCCCCTCAAGCCCAGGTTACAGATCTGCTGGCTTGCGGGGGAGGGTCCCTCTGTGGGTGCCTGAGGAACCCTAACACCTCCTTTGCCTGGTGAGCTGAGGTGGGTTTGATGGAGGCCCCTGCATGAGAGGCCGACCCCATGCAGAGGGTCGGCCAGGCCACCAGCCTGTGGGCCGGGCCCTTAGTGCGCTTGCGCTGGGAGAGGGGCAGCGAGGAGTCGCTCTTGGCCTCCTGTGGACAGGGACGCAGCTTTAGGTGCAGTTTCTCCCCAACCCCCCTGGTGGTCCTGGGGCTCACCGGAGCCAGGAGTTAGGGGGCCTTGCCGTGGCTCTGCCTGGGCTGCATGCCCTGAGGCGGCTCTGAGGTGGCTCCACTGGCACAGAAGCACCCATCAGTGGAGGAGGGAGGCAGTGCAAACCACTGGCTATGCCACCTCACTGCAGGGAAGCCCCCAGCCTCCTTGGCTGCTGTGGTCACCATGACAAGTTGGGGTGAGAAGCTCAGACTCACCCTGCCCTAGGCCATTGCTGCAGCTCAGGTTCCGGGCTGGGCCGGGACGGGAGTGGAGGCGAATGTGCAGGTGGGTGTGATGGGAGCGGGAGCCGCATCTCTCAGTCCTCATGTGTGGAGGTCTGGCTCCCGCCTCCTCGGGGAGGCCAGGTTGGCATGGGATTGTCCCAGCACATCAACCTTGGGAGCCTCCCCGTAGCTGCTGTGTCCCAACTCCTGAGGGGTTTGCTGAGGATTGATGGAGGCGTTTGAGGTGACCCTCGGTCACGGGTGCCAAGAGACCTGGTGGCTGTGGGTTCAGGAGATGGTCATGACTCAGAGAAGGGTGACCCTCCATTATCCTCTGAGGACCAACCGAGGCATAGAATGTGGGTGGGAGCCACTTCCTCTGCCCATTCTTGCTCTCACTCCTGCCCCTCAGCCTGTGGACACACCTACTGGGATGCCCCGTGTCCCTGTGCTTCTCTGAGGGACAGAGTGAAGTCCATTGGCACCCAGGACACTGGATGCACCGGCTGTTCTGTGAGCACGGAGCTCCGGTCAGAGTAAGCAGCGAAAGGCGGGCCACCTGGCCGGGCAGGAGAGGAGATGTCTGTGGGGGGACAGAGCTGGGTTCTTCCCCCCTGGAGACTTCTAACACTAGGCACAGGCCTTCTGGGATGGGTTCTGGATCCTCAGCCCATGGGATGGGTGGCTGAGATGACCCTGGGGGACCTCCTGCTCCCCCATTCTTGTGTGAGGAGGTAGGATAGCTGCCTCCCATTGGCGTCCAGCGAAGGGCAAGTGAGAAAGGATGGTTTGTGAGCCATAGAGGAGCCGGCTTGGTGTGTATGAGAACTTCCTGAAAACGGCCATCCAGGGCTCCCAGAGACCAGACATTATCACACAAAGACTTGAACACTAACGTGTGCCAAGCAGCTTGAATACAGTGGTGAACAGCTCGGACCTAATCCCTGTGGCTCACAGAGCGGACCATAGGGAGTAAGTGGGGTTGCATCTCAGGCTCTGATGCTCATTTTCTCTGGGTTGGAGAGTAGCTGACCCCAACGATGGACGTGGAGCTGAGAGCAGAAGTGGAGGGGCTGACGTGGCAGGGAGCGGAGGGAGGTGTGTCCTGTCGCTGTCACACAGGTGAAGGGGGTGAGCTTTAAGCCCAGAGCACAGGGAACTGCTGAGAGCCAGAAGCCCATATGCTGGCTCAGACGCACCCTTGAGAACCATCGCTGTGGCTGCAGCGTGGAGGGCGGTTGAGGGGACAGCGCGGGTGCAGGGACCTCGGAGAGAGACTGCACAGGGATTTAGGTGAGCGATAACAAAGCCCTCAGGACAACACTGGTAGGATGGAGGCAAGAACGGATTTGGGGGACCCCCAGGAGAAGCGATGAGCCTCGGTGACTAACTAGACTTACTGGGGGAAAAGCGCATTCTTGCTGCTCATCGGCATGCTGGCCCTCGCCCTGCACCGGAGCTGATGGATGGTTTGCACCAAACGCGGGGTGAGTGCTTTCTGGGCTCATTGCTCACAGGCAGGAGACGGCCGAAGCCGGCGCGGTGCAGTTATCTCTCCTGTTTTGGGTGTCTGGGCTGCACAGTGCTCTCACGGGCGCTATCGTTATCTAGGATTGTCCTGACCATGGCTGTGCTATCGGAGGTCACCGTCCAGGTCTGGGTGGGAAGACGCTGGTGGGGGCAGGAGAGGGATGGAGGTGGATGGAGGGGGGTGGAGGGCCTGGGCAAATTCTCGCTCTGCAACTGGTGTCCTCAGGAGCCTTGTAGTCATTGAATTTGTCTTGGTTTTGTCATCTGCAGAATCAGGATGACACCTATTTTACAGATTTGCTGTGAAGAAACCCAGCCTGTTCCTGGGCCAAGGGAGGTGCTTGGCAAGAAAGTGGTCAAATTTGGAGCTTAGGGTCTTTTCCCCAAGGAAAAGCACGTCCCTGCTAGAAGCTGGGCCCCAGGGCAGGGCTCTGGGAGTGTGTGTGTGTGTATGTGTGTGTGTGTGTGTGTGTGTGTGTGTGTGTGTGTGAGAGAGAGAGAGAGAGAGAGAGAGAGAGAGAGAGAGAGAGCGCTATGGGAAGGAGAGGTGCAGGACGTGTCTCCCAGTTTTGCTCTCGGCTGGCTGCAAAGCACAGTAATTCACAGGAGCAAGAGGGAAGTCAGATTAAATGAATGTCGATTGGGGCACAAAAATATCGGCATTGCAATGGCCCCTTCTTAAAGCAGTCAGTAAAGATTGGGAGGCTATTGATTTAGCCATCTCATTATGCTGAGTTTAATGACAGCCGTGAGATGGACTACTGTGCCTCCTTAACCCGACAAAAAGAAAAGCAACATCCACAGGACACGCTCGGGCCAGGCCCTCCGGCTGGAGCTGGGATTTCCCCCTGTGGGCCTGGAGGCTGCTGGGTAGCTGACTGTCCCTGGGGCACACCTGGCAGTGCCCAGGTTCCTCCGGTGTTCGGCTATGCAGAGAACAGGGACTGGAAGAGCAAGGCCACCTGGTGGTCTGTGGTGGGTCTGGCGGGTAGAGGCGTTGCCCAGAGATTTTTCTTCCGGCTGCAGAGTTCCGGCACCTAGCCTCCCCATTGTCCTAAGCAGGGCCAGCCCTTCAGGTGGGCAAGAGGACCATGCTCTGCCATTTGAGGGCAACAGGAAGCCCCTTACCCTTTGTCTCCCTCCTCCGCCCTAACTCTCCCCCACCCCCCACACAATTCCTGCAACCTCAATAGATTTGTAATATATTTCTTTTTCTCTGTCAAGGGATCCTAGTTCTAGAGAGAACTCAGCCTTCTTACTTTACTGGTTGGCAACTCAGGGAGAGAATGTTGAATCTGACCTCTGGTTCCCAGCGTGAGGTTCTCTAAATTCCAATCAGGGATCCATGAGCCCCTCAGGAAACTGTTCCTCGCCTCTTCAGGGAGAGCCTAAGCTAATAGGGCTCTGGCCGGCCTGGCCTGGCCTTGGTGTGTGGCCAGCTGAGGGAAAGGGCCAGGTTCAAGCTTTCTTCAAGGCCCTCTTTGTCCCTGTCCTGAGCCAAAGGCCCCCCCAGGTTCCCCTGCAGCGCCCCATCCTTCCTGCCCAGTCACTGCTGGGCATGGTTTCAGCCAGTGACAGAAGTAAGGGCTTTTCATGGATTTGTTTTTAAGAAGAAAGTAAGTGAATTACTTTTCTTTGACAGGAGAAAATGTTATTTTATGATCTTTTTATTGAAAGCTTGATTGAAAACTAAAAGAAGAAGAAAGAAGGGAAGGGGGAAGAGGAGGAGGAGGAGAAGGAGAAGAAGGAGAAGGAGGAGGAGCAGAAAAAGATGAATCTCAGCTTTTGTGCCTTTATCCCCCCCACCCCATGGGCAGCCTCTGTTCTCAGTTGGGGACAGGAAGTGGGAATCAGAGTCCCACCCAGCTCGAAGCAGCCCACCCTGCTGACAGAGGTGGTTCTCCTGCCAGGAAGTAGTGGCAGCTGACAGCCAGCAGGAGACAGCTTCTGCAAAGGCTGCCACTGCCCCCATCCTGACCAGGCCCCACAGGCAGCCAGGACCATGAGACGGCCCACAATGCTGTGTGCGGCAGGAAGGGCCTGGAGGGGTGCTCTCCTGCTTCAGGCAGACTTGTGTGCCTGTGTGTTCAGGCACACTCACACTCACACTCACACTCACACTCACACTCACTCAGTGATGGTACACGGAGCAGACATCGGATCCCATGAGATGGGCCCCCAGGCTGGGTCCATCCTCTGCCTGATATCAAAGCCAGGGAGGGCTGCCTGTGACTGCTGAGTGAATGATCTCGACCAACGGGGCGGGAGACACAGGAGGAAGGCCAGGGGTGTGGATCCCTGCCAGGGGGCCCATCCTCACCTGCCCCCCCAGTCCCTCTGTCGTGGGTCCCCAGCATCCAGCTTACCTGGGGGCTCCTCAGGCTCCCTCATGGACCCCACCCCACCTCAAGCAAGTTTCCTGGACAGAATAGTGAATGAAATAGAAGGAATGTTTATGTCATAAAAGTCAAAGCATTTACTTCCTTTCGCTCCTTACTGGGCAGACACCCTGGTGCGCTCAGTCCCTCTGAATCATAGATGGACCTCTTTCTGCATTGGGGTGAACAGTGCCTTACTCTAGTTTGGGGATGAGAACAAATTAGTGGTCTGGAGAGGGGGGTGGAGACACTAGCCCTTGGGGAGAGATGGGGTGGGGAGCCAGGGAGCAGTAGAAGGTGTGCCTCAGCTTGAGGTGCCCCTGCCCAGCCTTCTCCACACGCCCTGCATCGGCCGCAGCCCACCAGGGTGATGTCCACAGCAGGACGGGCAGACCGCAGGCTCACAACAGGGGCGGCTGGGCAGTCCCCGCTGCCCTAAGGCGATTTAAGGGGAACACAACTCAAGTTCACTTGTGAGAGCCTGGCTCTTGCTCACCACCAGGAGTAGTGACACTCACAGGAGATGAGGGGGAGGTGAGGTCCGTGCAAACAATCAACCTGGCAGCTGGCAGGACCCTATCAGTGTGGTCAAGGGGCGTCACCAGGCTCCCTCCCCTTCTCTGCGACACACCTGACGGGAATTCCCTGCAGGAGGAAAACAGCAACAGCAGGTAGTTTCAGATGCAGTTCCTTCATTATCGTGCCCCCTGGCACCGAGGCTGGTTTACACAGAGCAGCGAAGGAGGGAGCTGGTTACAAGAAGAACAGCTTCTCTGTATGCGATAGAGGAAGGGGACTTCCCTGTCTCTAGAGTGTTGTGACAGCCCTTATCCAGGACCACGGGTTCCAGATCCCCAGGAACCCTCTGGCCTCAGAAGGGAAGGGGGCACCTGGGAGGCTGAGGGAGGAGCACAGGCCTGGCCCTGTGCTGAGAGAGAAGGGGGCAACAAGAGTGCCGTGGGGCTGGAGCGGCTGGGAAAATGGGGCTGGACTGTGGACCTGTTCCCTTCTGGGAAGAGGATCCGGCACTGCTCTGCCAGCCGGCGTCACAGACGGGCTCAAACGGCCCCCCTCAATCCCAGCGGAGGTGGGACAGGTGCTGCAGAATGCACAGCAGGGAGGCATGGTCCTGGCTGGTGGTCAGCCGCCCTGTTTCACAGAGGGGGACCCAGGCTTCACAGGGACCCGAGCCCTGGGGCTGTGACAGACTAAGGTGGTTACGGGCTGTGGTCTAAAGTAGGGGCTCTCCAGGTGTGGTTCCAGGCCAGCAGCACCCACATCAATCTGAACTACCTAGAGACACAAATCCGTGGCTCCAGACTCTGATCAGAAGCTGGGGGGTGGCGGGGGCGGTGGCAGGAGAGGGAGGCGAGCGGGGGAGGGACAGTAATCTGCTAAAAGCTCTCCAGGTGCAGTCCTCAAGGTGACCCTCAGGCAACCCTCATGCAAGCTCAAATTTGATCACTAGCATCCTTGGCAGATGTGAGCGCCACCCAGTGGTGACACAAAATGTGGGGTTCTCCTTAGCCATCAAACCACCTCCCCTTCTCCAGTTCTGTCCCTAGGCCCAAAGTGGCCAGTAAGGACAGAATGTTTTCAAGGCTGATAGCAGGATGGGTAGTGGGAAAAGTAATTTAATTCACACCCCCACCTCAAAACCCTGAGGATGGACCAGGAGTGGCCGATGCCAAGACCGAAAGTGGCCGTGGGCATGAGGATCTTGGAGGCACATCACCCTGAGTGTCACCCCCACCTCTCCTCAGGGCCAGGCCAGGGGCCATGCACAGGGCGGCAGCCTGATGAGAGTCTAGGCTGGAGACAGCTCACACTGTGCCCATCCCGAGCCCAATATCGGCTACAGAGCTCCACCAGCCGGACACCCCCTCCCTGCCCGGCGGCTCTGTGATGCATGAGGCCGCATGGGCGGGAAAGGTGTTTTCTGCCACTTGGCCAGTCCTCCATGCCCCAGGCCCCTGTCTCCACGCTGTGTGAGTGTTCACAGCCTGCGTGGGGATTCTGAGTGCCCAGGGCGGTCACCCTCACTCTGGTGTCAGCATTGGCTCCGGCGGAGGTGGTAGGCCACGTGCCCCCTGAGCCATGGCCCAGGCTCCTGTGAGACACTCTGCGGGGGGAGAGGGGGTTGTCAGCCCGAAGGAGCCACACTTGTCTTCCAACCGCACAGGGCAGGGCTCTAGGGCTGGGGCCGGGGGTGGTCCCGCCCAACCAGGAAGGGGGTGTGAGGCTGCCGAGGCTCCACAACACCCCGTGGGACACGCTCCTGAATGTCAGCCTGACAGTTTATTAGAGACTAGAGGCCTGGTGCAGGAATTTGTGCGTGAGTGGGTCTGGCCAGAGGCCCCCATCGGGAGGGGGAGGGGCTGCAGGAGGTTGGCCACTGGCTGGCACCCGATCAGGGTGATGAACTCCTTTAGCTTTTTCTTGCTTTCAATTCTCTTTATCTGGCTTTCAATTCCAAATGAGCTTTGCTGGGTAGAGAAGGGTATGGCAAGAAATATTCAAAGTGACGAAGAGCAAGGACCTGCAACCAGGGTGACCTCCTTTTGAAAGGATTTGTCTGCTCTGGGCCGAGGGTTCTGTCTCCGTGAAACCCCCATCAGTCTTTGCCTCGGGCGAATGGAATCGCAGAGGCCTATTTGAGAGTCGCCAGGGCTGGGTGCGTGATCTTGGAACAGTTAAAAACACATTCGTGAAGGGATGTTATGGGTGCTCTCTCATCAAAGAGCCCATGTGCTACACCAAGAGGGTTGCTTTGACACGGAAGCCTCCATCCCAAGCCCACCGCCTCCAGGAGCTGGCGGAGGTGGAAAGTGGGTAGATGAGGCTGGTGCCAGGCCACCTGGCAGGTGTCAGCAGCTCTGCAGGCTGAGCCCCAGCATGGGGAGACAGGCTCTGACGTCACCACCACAGAGGATTTGACGGCAGCAGCAGCGGCTTCAGAGCTTGTTGCTATTGTTTTATTTATGTCTCCTTTTCCCTTTAAACCGCTCTAGGTTGCATTCGTTGGAAAGAGGAGCAGCCTTTGCAGCCTCCTCGGTGGAGAGCAGGCCTTCCATCTGGGTTCACACGCAGCCAGAGCCCGGATTAGAAACACGTGTGGGTCTTGCATTATTTGTTTTATTACCGATAAAGAGGGCTTTAGATTCTGGCACGTAAATATGTCTCCTGCTTATCCTCTAGGGCAGGAGGCCGAGCAGCCACGGGCACAGCCACAGCTCTTCCCTCCCTCACAGGCCTCCGTCCAAGGGCAGCCATGCAGGCGCAGGCGCCTCACTCGGAGGGGGCTGGGGCAGCTTTGTTCTTCCCAGACCTTCTGTCTCAGTCCCTCTTCCCGCTCCGGGTCTGTAGCATCTTCCTTTGAGGCAGGTTCAGGCGTCTGGGGGACATGATGTTTATCACACGCTGTTTTCCGTGTGGGTGGTCAACATGGGGGTGTTCCCGAATCAGGCTTCCTTCAGCATTGTGTTGGGGGTGGGGGTGGGCAGCATGAAGGTGCAAACACAACCCGTGGGGACTCCTCGCTGAGCACCTTCTGTATACCTTCTGTGTACCTGGTGGGCATCTCCCCTCAGAAGGGGTGCTTCCTGTGTTTGAGACCAACAGGTGGAGGGTGGGTGGATCAGACTGGTTGGCTGCCTCAGTGCCATCATAGCTGCAGCGTCAGAGGGTGGGGCAGAGTACCTGGGACCCTGGATTCCCTCGGGTTTGCAGAACCAACCCCTCCCTTTGTTCTCCCTTCTCTGTGGAGGCAGCTGTTGGCAGAGGGCAGGGCGGATGGATGCGTGTTCAGACCTATGGCCTGACTCTAGGGAGTTTTCCTGACTGCTCTGTGTCCCCCACTCACCTGAAGCCCTTAAAATAGCCGGGGTGCCCAGTGCTTGAAGGCTCCCATGAGCTGGTGGAGGCAAGCCCTTGGTCATTGGTTTTTATTTTTTTACTATATTTCTTCCACATGCAGTGATCACACTTAGTCTGGAGCGGGGAGGGCTTGAGTGACCTTGTGGAGCATCTAGGGAGGGGAAGGGGCCGTAGTGCCAGAGGCCGAGTTCCAGGAGGCCAGCAGTGCTGGTCTGTTGGTGCCTGTCCTGTCCTCTTGAGATTGAATCCACAGGATTACTAAGGGAGCCAGTCCCCAGTTCTGCCCCACCTCTGCCGCCGATTGATTGGAGTCTGAGGGCTGGGAGGAGGGACCAAGAGATCTGTCTTTCAGCCACTCGCCAGTCACCGCTGCCTCTGATTGGTCAGCTCCCACTCCCTCAGCTCTCTATTGTTCAGTGGAGACTTCGTTCGTTTTGGATGGTACGGACCCCAGGTTTTTATAAATTAGGATGGAGATCTGGAGGCTCTGGGGAGAGGGGTGGTGTGATGACAGCTGCAGCTGCTGGTCTCGGAGCAGGGACCTGGGGGAGCCATCCTGGTGCAGATCTACATGCTCACAGGTGGGACTAGCCCCCCAGCTCTGACTCCAGCCTTCAGCATGCCCCTCAGGGAACCCACCACACCCTGGACCTCAGTTTCCTACACTGTGCCTCATCTCCCAGGCCGTTGGCATGAACAAGGAGGTCCCAGTTCCCAAAAGTTCTGGGCCACTCTGTCCCTCTGCGGTTTGGACCAGCCGGGTCCTCACAAAAGGACGCCCAGTCCAGGAGCCACAGCTCCCCTTGCCTCTGCCTCGTCAGCCCAGGAGATGGGCCAGGAAGTCAGCTCTCCAGGGACTCCCCCAGTGACAAGGCCTGGCACCCCATCTCCACAGACTGGGGCACCTCAGGAAGTGAAGGGACCCAGGATAGCACGCATGTCCCAGGCTGCAGCACCCCTCCCCTGAGTCTCCCTCGGCCCCGGGCAGGAAGAGCACACGCTCTCTTGGCCTCAGTTGGTGAGACTTGTCGGTCTGACTTGTGTGGGATTTCAGAAGTCAGCAAAGAGCTTGGCCTGACCATCACCTTTTATTTATCTGGAAGCTGGAGGGCAGCAAAGATAACCACAACACTGTTTCTTTTGTCCTTGATGTAGTCTGGGGTTGCTAGCAAAGCTGGTCTCCCTCCTAATGAATTTTCCTCAGCCACCTCACGGCCCTCTGGGTGGAGGAGCTAAGCCAGCCAGGTCCCACCAGCCCCGGAGGCCGGGAGGCCGGGAGGGCGGGAGGCAGGAAGAGAGGGGGCCGGGAGGCGGGGAGGCAATGTGCTCTGAGGGTGTGGTTTCTGCACAGTTGAGGGCTGTGTTGGGGACACAGTGACCTGTGTATGGGAGAGAGAACATCCTTCACCCAGGACTGACCCGGCTCAGCCAGAGCTGAGCTAGCCACACTGGGGACAACCCTGTGGGGAGGCAGGGGGTGACCTTTCTTGGCCTTGGTTTTAGCACAACAAGGGCCCACTCTCGGGGGTGAGATGGGAAGAGGGTCCCCAGGACCCGGGAAGACCAGGGCCTGGGAGGTATAGAAGAAGGTGTGGGGTGTTCCTGTTAGATCATCGTGTCACAGTCTCGGGGGTGGGGGCGGGGGGTCCCTGTGGCTGTCGTAGGAAACGGCCAGCTTCTGCACTGCATTTTCTAGGCTTTGCTTCCAGTTCCCCTCAGCACCAGGAAGGTCTTTCTGAAGGTCCCCTGCCCAATTCAGACGGCGAGGCAGAACCGAGGAAGGACCGCTCACTCCGGGAGCAGAGTGAGGCCTCGTGGTCAGGGAGCGTGACAGGGACAAGTGAGAGCACTCTCAGGGCAGAGCACCCTCGACCTGGAGCTTTACCTTTTCGGTGGCTCCAATGTTTCAGGCTCCAATCAGATTGGGTCCAATCAGAAGGAGTTTGACACTTGCCCACATACACTCGCCCAAAGTTTAAAACCCTGGCAGTTCTGAGAATCAGGCCCTACACCGGAGATTCCTGGGGGCAGATTCCTGGAGCTGGGGCTGGGGCCTTTCTCCCAGGGCTCCTCTCCTGGGAAAGGCCTCCAGGTGGTGCAGGCTCCTGTGGTGCCATGTGCTGGCATGGCCAACTCCTGCCTCCCCCACACCCAGCCCCTCGCTCCCTGCCTGAAGCCCCACCATCTACCACTGCCCACACCCGGCTCCTGCTGCCTCACCTCATTCTCTCCACGCGCAGGCCCTGTAGGAAGGAGCGAGGCCTTGGGGTGGGCAGATGAGAGGCCTGGGCCTTCTGGGGGCAGAGTAACCCTAACTGCCCATCATGACGCATTTCCAGGAGGCCAGAGCAAAGACCCCAAACCTAGGCAGAGGTGAGAGGAGGGCTGCTCAGCACCGGTGGGGGTCACGCTGAATGCCCGGTCCAGAGGGGTCAAGGTTTATAGTCCTTCAATGTAGTTTCAGGAGCTGGGAGGGAGCAGAGAATCCAACTCTCTCACCTTCCTGTGATCCTTGGGAGCCTCTGTCTGTCCCCGCCTGGGCTGGCAGTGAGCACTCAGAAGTGGAGGGTCCCGGTCAGGTGGGAACTGCAGGAACTGTGGTCTTGGGCACTTGGTGGTCTGAAGGATGGACACCAGGGATGGGGACTTTCTGGGAATTTCTAGATGAGCTGTGCCGGCTCCGCAGGTCTGGCAGATGGGATTTGGACCCCTGTCCTTGTGGGGGGCGGTTGGAGGGGAAAACGATGGGCGGTTAGTGAACATGCAGCTGGAGCCTCCGGTGCAAGCAGCAGGTGAGAACCATCCCGCAGGTCTGCCAGGTGGAGAGAGAGAGATCAGGACCCACTGCGGTATGGGTGGCAGAGCCCAGAGCGCAGCCTCCCGCACCGAGTGCGCAGCTGGGACCTCCATGAAGGGCAGGTTGCCGTGTGGGAGGTGGAGGAGGAGGGGGCACTGAGGTTCTGCTATTCCGACAAGCTCCCAGGGAACACGCTCTGAGAACTACTCTGCAAGAGCAGTGCTTCTCACGTTTTAATGGGAATGAACCACCCAGGGACCTCGATGTGGGGGCGCAGGGGTGAGGCTCAGCGCTGCTAGCGATGAGCTCAGTCCCCGCCTGGTCTGTGACCCAGCTTCTTCAGGAGCAGCTGACTGCGACCCGAGCGGCCTTTCTCTGTCTGCATTGCTGCTCTGCCCAGAGCGAAACCAGCCACCACAGTGAGTTTTGGCTGATGGACAGAAGCCACTGGGGAAACCGAGGTTCTGGGAGGGGCACCCAGAGCTGTCATCAGCTCATTTGTAAGTCAGCATGGAATGTGGCACCAAACGAGGCCCTAGGAGCCTGCCTGACAGGCCCCCATCACACCCACTAGCTGAGCAAGGAGGGGCTAGAGCATCGGCCCAGAGCAGGGCAGTGCTGGGAAGTCACCTTTTCCTGTTTCACTTTTCTGTCTCCATGCTATTGAGGACCCTTATTCCCCTGACTTCTTTTGCCTCCCTCTTCCTCTCCACCCTTCCTCTCCTCCTCCAACCCAAGGGTACTCCGGGACAAGATGAGGGTGTTTGGACCAGGGAGGCCACGACTGTGATGATGCTCCTGACAATGATGCCCTTGGGTCCTGACTCCACCGGTGGGGGAGGGGCACTGCTAGGGCAGCCCCATGACCACCCTGTGGACATGGGTCAAGGTGCACTTCCCCAGATACAGGAGCAAGGCTCCATCTTCCCCAAACTTTCCAATAGCTGCTGGCCAACGGGAGGAGGACAGGCAGGTGCGGACTCCTATGGGCTGGTAGGCCCTCGGTCTCTCTTTGCAAGGCTGGTGCAAGGAGGTAGTGAAGGATGCCCCCTCTTCCTCTCCTTCCTCTTCTCCATCCCGATGTGTACACAGCCCTTGGCCTCCAGACTATGTGCAAGAGCAGAGCTAATCCACCCAGTACTCAGAGCCACACGCTGAAAGGCAGCGTAAGAGGTTACTGGTTTTTAGCACATGGTTGTCACAGCCATTCCACCCAGGTGTCAGCATTGTGACTGCCCTGTGGTTATCTGAATCTTTCTCCTCCCTGCTGAGGGGGAAGCCGGAGGGAGTAGGTAGACCAGCAGAGACTCGTGGCTGCCTCTTTGAAACTTCATGCTGGGGGAGATTGGAGGGCTGAGCTCTCAGCATGCTCACTCTTGATGAGATGTGTGTTCCCAGGGTGACCCCAGGGAAGGCACAGTGAGGATGGACGTGTGCAGGCTGGAATCTCACCAATGCATGCGCACGTGCGTGTACACACACACACACACACACACATACACACACACACACCACCCTGATTCGTGCAGAAGAGTAATGTCTGAGCTTTCAGATCCCTGAGTGAGGTGAACGTGATAACCATTACACTACGGAAACGTGGCGGCTCAGATCCCTGAGTGAGGTCAGTGTCTCCTTTCTGGCAGAGGACATGCAGACATCAGCACAGACACTGAGCAGCAGACCAGGGTGAGCAGAGAAAACACACAAGTCGACCGCGGGAGCAGGAGATGGCAGATGACAGGCTGCCTGAGCCCAGACTGTGTGGGATATGGCACCCCCTTTTGACAGCCGGCCTGGATGTATGGCACACATGGGGCTTTTGACAGAGAAGCCCGAATGCTTCTGGGTCATCAAGAGCATCAAGGAAGGGCCAGGAGGTCCCAGAAAGCCTCAGTTCCCCTCAATGCCCAGCAGATTCCCATCTCTCTGCCTTGTGAGTTTTTCTGGGCTCTGCATGTTTCTATCTTGTCGTGTGGGAATGCTGGGGTGGGTATAGGAGTGGGCTAACTTCCATTTGGAACTTTGTGGCCCTGGGCACAGTTACAGCCCTCTCTGAGCCTCAAATCCTCCTCAGTCAATAGGAAAACCTCTGACTTCAGGCTAGATTTCCTCCAGCCTGACCAGGGAAGCCTTATGACATCATCTTGGCCTTGTTTATCCTGAGTCTTTAGGGTCTTCCAAGTGCCACGCTGGGCTTGTGTTGGAAGGTGCCTGGTACCTGCTCTGGCGGGAGGATGATTGTGAACCTGGGAACAGCCTGGTGCCAGCCCTCCTTCAAGGCTGGCCACTGACCTGGACTTGGGGAGCGTAGTTCCAACATTGGCCAGCAGAGGGCGCTGTAACCTGAGGCTTGGCTGCTGCAGGGCCAGCCTCAGAAGAATGAAGGGGAGAGACTGCGCAAGGGCTTAGGGTCCCTGGTGGTGGCCCGGAGAAGCTCTCTCTGGGGGACTTAGGAGTAGTTCCACAGTGAGCTGGACCGAGACTTTTCATGGTGGGGGTGTAGGAGATGAGGAGGCACATGTGGGCCTGCAGGCACCCTGCCAACCTGGCCTCCTGGCATCACTCCTACAGGCGCACTTGGCCACCTTAGGCTCTGGGCTCTCGCAGTCCCTCACTGCCCATGGCTTTGCTGGCCCATCCTCAGCTTCTCCAGGCTCACAGGCCAGACAGGTCAGAAAGAAATGGACAGAGAGTGGCCCTGGCCTGATCAACGTTCATGCAGAGCAAGTCCCCTCAATACCTGAGGCAAATAGCAGGTTTCCAGAAACCACAGCTGATTCAGGAGCTGAGTGCAGATCAGCCTCTTCCCCAGACCCCATGGCAACTCCCCTGGGGTCCAATATGTGGGGCAGAAGACCTGCCCTGGGAGGTACACGAGGGGCCATGTGACTGCCCCTGGGGCTCCCTGGGCCTGCTCCTGAGTGGAGGTGAAGGGGCAAGCTGGTCTGGCCAGGAAACAACCAGGGCCTCTGGGAGAAATAAGAATGTGCTGCATGGAAGTGATGAAAACAAGGATGGGGACCGTGTCCCGAGCACCTTCGACCTGCTCGGCAGTGAGCCCTGTGGCTACATATATTCTGCTGTACATATATTCTGCTGACCTCACTGCTCACGAACCAGCTATAATTAGCCTCACATCACAGATGAGGAACCAGGGCTCAGAGACGAATAACCAGCCCCAGGTTGTCCGGTCTCTTTCCAGAGGGCCAGGCCCAGCAGGGGAGGCTGCAGCTGGACCCTCCGGCTCTCTGGCTGACACGGGCCAGCAGCTGTGACCTGCGAGGAACCCACACCGAGGCTCCCTCGCCTCATGCCCATCCTGCTTCTCTTCCCATGGAACTGTGTTGGGAGGGAGTTTGAGAAAGCGAAGGCCCACGGAGACCTGGGTGGCAGTAAGTCCCCTCCCTGAGTCTCAACTTTCTGGTCTGTAAAATGGGGAGGACACTGCTACTAGCCTGGCTTGGGTCTCAGGTTGTGGGGATCAGATAAGAGAAAGGATCTGAGCCACTCTGAGGTCCAAAGAGAGGCCCTCACCTGTGCCAGGTGCTGCTGCTGTCACACCTATCACCTTGTTCCTATCTGGCCCTCACGCAGTTGGGAAAACAATCCATAGTTTGAGGATGACATTGGGGTGCCAGGAAGTTACTGCTCAAGGTGGCACAGAAGCAGAGGCAGGACTGGACCCAGGTCCTCTGACAGGCAGCCCCTGCTCTCCCCTCTCCTTCTCCCCTAGACGGTGCTTATAGACTGGGCACAGGAAGGTGGGACAGGACTGAGCTTCCTCCAGAACAGCTGGGCAGAAGCAGGAGTGTCAGGTGAGGTGGGCACGCAAGGCCCTTGCTCGCTGAGCCTGCTCTTGCCCCTGGCAGGGCCACTCCTGATTCCTCTGATCTTGACTTGTGACTAGAATGACCCATGAGAGTAACACTAACTCCTGGATGGCAGCTGGGGGAGGGTGGAGTGGTGACCCAGAGCAAAGAGCATGGCTCATGCTCAGAGCAGAGAGCTGGGTGTACACAGGAAGCACATATCCACAGGTGTGCACACGCACATACACAGAGGAATGAGAGCATGTCATGAACACACACACACACGCACACACACACATGCACTAGCACACCTAAACACATATACATGCTTCCACCCCCCACAATGATGCATGCGGACACACCTGGGGCCCACACAGACACAGCAGGCTGCACACACACCTGCACGTGCACACACACAGGGGTGCATGCACATACCTGAGCCCACACTCACACTCCTCTCAGGTCTCTGCTCCTTACAAGTTCAAGTTGGCCCCCCGGCCCCAGGCATTTTCCTTCCTGTCTCTGGGGAAGAGAGTGACCATGTGACTCAGCTTTGGCTGCAAAGGGAAGAGGTGAGGAGGGCAGGGCAGAGTGTGCGTGTGCAAAGGGGCAGTGGTCTGGGGTCACAGCCCGCGGGATGGCGTTCAGAGCTCCTCTCCGGCCCCTCTCCTCACTCACCTGCAGGCAGGCCACCCCGATGCCCACCGCTCCCATGAGCAGCAGGTGGTTGGCCAGGAACTGCTCCAGTTTGGTGATGCAGCCTCCCTGTAAGGTAACAACAGGTCACTCTCACCTTGACCCAGAAGTGGGCGAGGCCGGGGAGGGAAGGGCAGGCCGGGCGCTGTATCCACCTGGCTGAGGAAAGGCCGGAGCCTTAAAGGGCCTGGTGCAGCCTTCCAACTGCCCACAGGCTTCCGGTGACCCAGGTTAGGCCGTGATGTCCCGGAATCTCTCAGTAGCAGGTGTGCGGCGTCTCCTGCGTGGTGTGGCCCTTTGAAGGCCCAGCATTGCTGATTTCTGGCCAATAATGAAGTGGGCCCCACTCCCCGCGCCCTGTCTGGCCTGAGCCTGCCTTTTGGGGGCCCCCGGATGGCAGCCGGGCCCTCTGCAGGCCCCAACGGGAGTCCACGCTCACCTCCACCTTGTAGATGTTGGAGGGGTGGGCCCTGTGGCCGCAGCGCGCCACCACTGTCTTGCAGCAGCTGTCCGGCACCCGGCGGCCCCCTGCCTCTGGGGACAGGATGTAGGCGCTGTGCTGCCAGTCGGCAGAGCTGTTGCTTCCGCAGCACTTGAACTGCAGAGAGAGGCAGAGCCCGGAGGTGAGGAGACGCACAGGCCCCTCCAGGGAGCAGCACCGTTATTCGAATAGTAAGCAGCCCCTTTCTCCCCCTGGGATTCTCCCCTCCCCCTGTTTGGTGAGGGGACTGGTCTCATTTCAGGCAAAATTTGCCTGCAGTCCACCTGTGTGCTGCCTTAAACATCACCCACGTCCTTCAAGGAGATTATGCTGGTGCCCAGGGGGCGGGGAGGGTGTGTGAGAGGATGGGCAGGGAGGTAGAGGCAGGTGGGTCCTGAGAGTGTGGGGCCACACCCACCAGAGGTCACGCAGGGAGGCAGAACCCAGGGCCAGGGGCCCAGCCTTGCCACAGGCTCCAGGCCCCCATTCAGGCTTTGAGTCCTGCAGGGACACAAAAGGTATCCCAGAGGCAGCTCAGCAGACCAGCAGCTCAGCAGTGACCAGAGGGGCGGGTGTGAGTGCGGACCTGGGCCCTGCATCTTCTGCACCTCCCCAGGGCAGGGATGTGCCCGCCCGGATCAAGGTGATTTTGAAAAACAGGGGATTGGTTATTTCTCGCCCTTCTGGTTTGGGGACTGAGCCTTACAGTCCCTACATGGGCCACAGAACATGGCTGTTTGAGGTGTCTCTGGGGTGAGAGGTGCGGGTGGGGCGGGAGGGGCATGTAGTCTACTTAGCCAGTGTGTGTCAGGCCCCTGCCGTGTGCCGGGAGTGGCGCTCGGCACTGAGCTCAAACTCGCGTTGATCAGAGCTTATCATTGCTGGTTGTCCAGAGGAGCTGACAGAGGTGAGGAACTGGCCCAGACACACAGGACAGAGAGGACCCAACCCTGCTGGGGGCTTACGTCCTGCTGCAGACGGTCCACCGAGGCGGTGATCTCCGTGGCTCCAGGCTGCCCGTAGTTCTCCGTCAGCGTCCGGGTCACGTGCTGCTTCAGTTCGTTGCTCAGCTGGAGGGTGGAAGGGAGGTGGGTCGGCAAAGCACCCCACCCCGGTCCCCAGGCCTGTGCCTACCCACCGGCTACTCTACACCACTCTGTTCTCCCAGCAGTACAGTGCGGGGTTTCCCGCCCAGTGGAAAGGGCCCCTTGGCGCACAGCAGCCAGAGTCATGAGATGGGGCCCTAACATGAGGGCAGGGGTGTGGTGGGAAGGGCTGAGGGGCAGGTGCAGGAGGAGACAGCCCCCAGGCACAGGGCTGCTTTCAAATACCCGTTGAATTTCATTTTGATCATGAGATCCCATGGGCACGCAGTGCTCCTATAGGTGCTGGCTTGAAACACCCAGAATGGTCACTGTCCCTACCAGCCGAATATCAGTCTGGGTCGGAGGGCTCGCAGTGGGAGAGGACCTGACTGGTCCCTTCCTCCTTGTCCTCAGGCAGGCGAGGCCGGTGCTGTCTTCGTAGTCTGGCATAGTCTGGGCCAGGCCTCTCTTTCCCTCGGATATCTGACTTCCCCTAGGAGGGGAGAGGAACCAGCCACCCCCAGGGAAGCCTTCCGTCCTGGCTCCCATGTTGAAGACATCTGCATCCACAGATGGATTAGAGGGTTCCTGGGACCCGGGCAAGAAGCAGGACCCAGATGTGCCGGGAAGTGTTGGGGCCGGGAGACAGGACCTCCGGAGCGCCGGTGCCTCAGCTTCCCCAGCACCCTGCACCCTGCCCCACGCGTGGCCTCCTGGGGCACTTTGGGCGACGTAGAAGGAAGACCTTGCACTCACCCTCTGGCAGTACACGTGGGCCAGGACCCCCGCCACCAGCTCCACGAGGAAGATCACCAGCAACAGGCAGAAGTACTAGGGGCAAGGGGAGAAGACGGTCACCCTGGCATCGAGCCTGGGCAGCAATGGTGCTTCAGGGCCTCGATGAAAATGCTTTCCTAAAGTGGTGAGGGCGGTGGGGCACCTGCCAGGGACACCCACCCCCGGACCATCTTCCTCTCTTCCCAGCAGCTCTGGGCATACCCACCTCTGCTGGCCACTGGCACGGTGTTCTCCACGCACCTCTTCACTCACTGGCCTGCTGGCAGCTTGTTAATCCGCCCACAGATCCAATACTTATTAAATGCCTATTTTGCACCAGGCATCCTCAGTAAGACAGTTATTGCCTTCAAACATACTGGTGGTAGGGGGATGGATAGTCAGTGATCATAATGATGCTTTTTAAATGCTATTATGGGGCAAGCCCTGGAAACTAAGGGAGAGCAGTCAGAGAAGGCTTCCTGGAGGAGGCGACACCTGAGTGGCATCTCTCAGGGTGAGTGTGCATTTGCCAGGTGAAGAAGGAGGGAAGTGCATGCCAGACAGAGGGGAGAGCAGAAGCATGGGGCGTTTGAGTTCAGGGATGTGGCTGAGTGTAGGGGCTGCAGCAACCAAGGCCCAGGAAAGGCACAGGCAGGGACCCAGAAGGGCACTGCAGGTTCTAACTTCCCTCACCGCTGCCTGACTGCTCCCGCTCAGCTGCTCTGCACGCTTCCCAGCCCTGCTGACGCTGCCGGCTGGTCTCCTGGCCGCGCTCTGGGCTGTGATGGGCCTCATCCTGCCCCACCCCCACCTGCTTTTACCTCCAGGACGGCTCAGGACACTGCTGGGTCCCAGTATGCTCTTGAAGAGCCAACAGGTCAGGCATGCATGTCAGGCCCACATGACTGGGAGAGGACAAAGTGAGGGAGATGGTGCAGGTACAGGTAGGGAAGAAGGAAAGACGTGAAGGCAGAAGAGGAAGAAGAGGGGGTACTGGTGGCTGAAATGGGCCCCTCTGGGCGAGCACAGCCCTTACTCTAGGGCACTTGTTGGTGATGCCTCTTTCTTCCTCCAGGCTCTGCCCATCTGTGGGGGAGCTCTGAAACGTCTGGGTTCATCAGGTATGGCAGGAAAGTGGGCAGGAGGGTCTGAGGGCAAGGGGACATGGGCTCCCAAGAGTGGACAGGGTGGGGGTAGCAGGCTGGCGGGGGCTGTCTGGCCATGTCAGAGGCAATTTCAGCCCACGGGCCTGTAGGCCTTGCCCACGGATCCCAGAGCCAGCAGGGGGCCTGCCAAGGACAGGACTGAATGAAGCAACACAGGGGAGAGTACATTTCACGAACAAAGCACTTTGACCCAAGAGCAGGCTGCCTTTCAAGTGAAGTGAATCAGCCGCTTCTCCCTCAGCCATTGGATGGAGCTCATTGTCTTCCAGCACCGAGTGAGCAGGGAAACCTACGGTCTCAGTGTCGGTGCCAGGCCTGCCCATCGCTGTCCTGGGCCCTCCCTCCTGCCCCGGCTCTGTGCTACACTCCAGGGCAGGACAAAGGACCAGGCTCTGTGCTGCACCAGGAAGGGCCCGGGCCTGCATGTCTCAGCTCTGCGTGTCCCTCCCCAGCCCCAGGCCCAGTCCCCACTGGGTGAGGGTGTGGAGGAGGGTGGGGCACCAGCCGAGGCGCCCTGTGCAGGCTCTGGACGGAGGTCTGGCTGACTGCACGGGGATCCCATGCTCCTGGCCCCCAGATGGGTTTCGAGTGGGGAGGACAGAGACAGGTTCCAAGTGGGCATGATCCCTGGGCCCCGTGGACTCTTCCCGCCATGGGGAGGGCTTTGACGAGGGAGCTGGGTGTGCCTGGGTCCTTGGCGGGTTCTGAATGCTGTCCCTGTGAGCCGGAGGCTGACAAGAGGTCTGTGGCTGGATCCTCTCTGCTTGAGCAGCCTGGGCACCTGACACAGGCCTGAGAACTGGAGGATGGCGGTGAGATGTCAGCTGACTTGGCTTTGAGTCCAGGCTCTGCCACTGCTGGCCCTGGACGGGTGACCTCTGACACCTTGGTGTGAATTAGAAAAATGCGCTCCAATGAGAAAAATGTGTCTCAGTGAGCGGGCGAGCTGACCTCAGCCTCCCCTGGTTCCTCGTACAAAGTGCAACCTCCAGGGCCACAAGGAGGGCCCTGCCGGTGGGGCTGAGCCGTGGGCAGCCCCTCCTGCCCTGCTGACCCCTCGGAGGACCCGACGGAGGGGGGGAGTTATGTTTATGGTGATCTGACCTGCTTCCTGCTCCAGAGCCCATGGCGGCAGCACGAGGTGAGCCGCACTGGCCAGCCGGCGGCAGGCACGGCTGCCCAGGCCAGGTGGTTGCCCTCTGGGAGCTGCCCAGCCCACTGGACAGTGTGTGGCTGCACTGACTCCCCCCAGGAGGGTGTCCCCACTAATGCATGCACTCAGGGCCTTGGGGGTGTGCCTGACCGTAGCTCCTTTCAGACACCGCTGCTCCTCCTTGCTGGCTCCAAATTCACCCGCACTCCCCCAGCCTGGGTTCGCTGCCCGGCATCTGTACTCCGCAGCTGTTAGCCTCCAACCTCAGCTCCGAACGGCCCCAGAGCCCTCCCTGAGCCCGGAGTTCCTGGCTGTGGCTTCACTGCTCACACCCTTGAACCCGATCTGACTGGCGGGCCTCACGCTGGTCCGCTCCCGGGACCATGGACACGCTGACCTGCATCTTGTTCTGTCTCCGCAGGCCCCGTGCAGGGGTGCGAGCCTACCCTCTCCTCCCCAGCGCCCCTGTGCCGGGCCTGCCCCTGCTCTCAGGGCTGCCCCGGCTTCCAGAAGGGGCTGCTGAGTCTTGGCCGGATGGAAAGCAGAGCTAGAATTCCAAGGGAAGCTCTTGCAGCGTCTGCCCCCAGAGCCCTCTGTGAGAGTGGTGCCACTTCACAGGATGCCAAACTGGACCCCACACAGGAGGAGCCAGCGTGGTGAGCACAGAGTGGGGCGCAGTCATTTACCATAAGGGGTTTTCCTTTAATTCGTTAATGGAACTGTTTGAACTGGAAGTGAGATATTTCCTAAAACAAAATCCAAATCCGGAACGAAGCTGGGGCAGCACAGCACGTTCTCAGCCAAACAGGCGTTGGGGGGGGGCTCTGCAGGAAGCCTGCGGAGGTGTTTCTGGTGGTGACGGGACGAATTAGAACCGAGTCTTCAGAGGGACTGGGGACTCAGTCGCTGCACAGGACAGGCTCAGCCAAGTGCGGTTTGGTGACCGGGGCCGTGACACAGGGCAGCTCGGCACCGGCAGGCACCATGCTCGAGGTAAGTTAGAGGAACTTTCTACAACTGGACCTGGGAGCCTCCCCATTGGACTGATTCTGCCACAAAGAAGGGAGCTCCGCTAAGGGTTCCTCCTCTGTCTCCCTTACAGAAGGGCACCAAGCAGGAAATCGAGGCAGGGTGTGCAGGCGGGTGGGGGGAGAGGCACAGCGTGGTCTCAGGGAAGCGAGGCAGCAGGAAGAGAGGAGAATTGAGAAGCTGCCAAAGCCAGTGCGGGGAGAGCACAGCTGGAGGCTCCCCCTTGGCTGTGTGAGAGGATGACAGCGCAGGCCAGGGAGGGCAGGGAGCTCAAAACCACCCAGGCCCAACGGGAGGAGACAGAGCCAGCTGTTTAAGCGGCAATGACCTCAGGACTCATTATTTTCTGGCAATTAACCACGGGCTGGAGGCAGCCAGGGCTCAGAGGTGCAGCTGCCTGGCCTGCTTGTGCAGAGAAGAGAGGATGTGGATTTGGGAGCTTCAAGCCATTCCTGCAACAAGATGTCACTGTTGGCAGGATGAAGGTGACCTCCACTGCTCCAGCCCCAGCCCAGGGCTCATAGCCCGGGCCCTCCAGCCCCAGCCACGCTAAATGCTGGGGTGCAGCCAGCCCTCCTGGGGCTGTTCTATGGGAAGACTTCAGGGAGTGCTCTGGCTGATGCTGATGCTAACATCCAGTTCTGGCCCAAAAGCTTGGGAGCAGAGAAGAGGACCAGGCAGGGCGAGGAAGGCTGGTTGGCTGGGTGGAGACATTGGAAGAGGGCAGGGGAGGGGCACACCTGGCCACAGAGAGGCAGGAGCTATTCAAGAGACATCGAGAGAATGCATCCGAGGCTGTCCGAAGTCCCAGCCAAAGGGTTGGGGTGCAAAGGTCACCCTGTGAGGGTTCGTGAGGAGAACACGGTTTCAGAACTAGAAGCCAGAGACCGGTGTCCCCTGGACATCACGCCGGCACTGCTGAGAGTCCAGACTGACCGGGCTGAGAGTAGGTTCCAGAGTGGACAGCAGGGTCTGGCCAGCTGGCTGAGGGGTGGTCACCAGACTCCCCAGGAGCTGCACTGCCCAGGGGGCTCGGAGGATGCTGCCTCCCAGTGGGCAGAGGCACGGGGGGAGGGAGCTGTTGCTGTCTCCTACGAGCTCCCTGGAAGGGTCCAGAGGTGCCTGCTGGCCTGGGAGAGACGTGGGCGGCCTGCAGGCACCCGTGCACAGGGATTTGCATGGGCCAGGGCAGGACAAAGGATGTAGCAGGGACCCCAGGATGGGCGTGGCGATGGTGACAGGGTGGTGACAGGAGGGAAGGGAAGGCTGGCGGGGGAAACTCCTCCCTCGCCTGAGGTTAGGAAAAGTCCTCGTGCTCCGAGAGGTAAGAGGTAAGCGCTCTGGCCAAGTTCAAACAGGAATTTAACCCCCACACGGTCCTTTGTCTTGTAACACAGGCGTTTGTCTTCCTCTCTACACTCCAAGCCAAGAACTGGTTTTAGTCCCTTCTGGTCCTGTCTTGTGCCCAGCAGAGCAGGAAATTCTGGAAATGCCTGTGGTGGTCGATGGACTAGGCAGCCTCATCAGTGTAACATGGTGTATGAGTTGTGAAAGCTGAAGAGGAGGAGGTGGTGCATATTAACCAGCTGTAAACACTGCCGTGTTTGGAAAACTTGCTACCCCAGGGCAACAATAAAATACATTTCCTGCAGCCTGAGAGAGGTGGATCTTGAACCCAGAATGGTGCTGGTCAGAGAAAAGAGTGATGTCACAGCAGGTACCCTGGCCTGGGAGTCTGGGCCCAGCTTTCCTCCCTGAAGATGCTGTGTGACCCTGGGTGAATCACTTACCCTCTCTGGGCCTTCTGCATAAAAAGTGGGGCTTAGATGGGAAGAATGCCTTGGTGCTGCTGCTCTATCTGTCTGTGCAGTGTCAGGACAGTGTCAGGTCCTCCCACCGGGCCTCCTGCTTCCCAGCAGGGATGCCTGGAGGGACACTCCTACTTCTCCCCCTTCCTTGCTCGCTGCTCCTCTTATCTGTTTGGCAGGAGGCCTCCTGCCCTCCTCGGGGACAGCCTGTCCTCAGGATGCCACGTTCTCTGCTCGCCACCATGCAATGAGCTGAGGGAGGCTGTTCTCCCTGAGGTGCAGAGGCCTGTCCTCTTATGGCCCAGAGCGGAAGGGCTGCTGAGCTCCTGCTGCAGAGGTAGAGCTGCTTTGGTAACAACGGTGGATCCTAAGCTCCCCTTGCTCCATAAGCATGACGTATGGTCTGATGGGGCAGGGCACTGAGCATCAGACGGAGGCACAGCTTCCCAGAGCCAGTGCCAGGACCTGGCATGAGAGGAGCCATCCAGACAGCTGTCCAACTGCCACTGCTGTCTGGTTCCACCAACGTGAGGGGACGTGAGCTCTGAGTGGGTCCTGCCCTCTCCGCTGCCCGTGGCTCCTGCAGGGAGTGCAGCCAGTGCTGGCTCCCTGGGGAGCACCCCAGTGGGCTAGGCAGTGAGTCTTGAAATGAATGACTTGCCTCCACAAGCCCTTTCCGCCCATCAGCCCGTGAGAGAGAGCAGTAAGACCGCCCGTCCTCAGAACCTCCGGGCACCTTCGTGGGCCTTGGGAGATTTCCCACCCAGACCCACGTCCTCCTGCTAGCCCACTGCCAGGCCATCCTTGGCGGGGAGGGGGAAGAGGGTGGTGGTGGTAATGTGTGTGCAATAAGGTTCAGTGAGGTTTGTTTTACATCAACAGGAGTGAAATGTCCCTGGGAAGGAAAGGCATTTGCAGAGACTTGTGGGCTTCCTAATAACTGGCTGAAGGACCACCTGCTATTCAGAATGGCTATTCCAGTTGTCGGCAAACTGCGGCTTGAGAGTCACACGTGGCTCATTGGCCCCTTGAGTGTGGCTCTTCCACAAAATACCACAAGTGGACGCGCATGTACAGTGCAATTGGAACTTGGTGGCCCATGTACAGAAGTTGGTTTTCTGCCTGGGAGAGTCCATTTTGAAGAAGTGGTTCTAACGCTGAGGCACACTTAA